GTTGTCGAACTTTGACATCTACAAAACGGGAGAAAACAAATTCAAGTTAGTTGATCGATTGAGTCCTTAGTAAATCACCCAAATGAGATACTAAGGCTAGGACCCAACACAATATGCTACAACCTAGAAAAGGGATGCCGTAATCTAGTTGCAGAATATTTGAAGGTAAGTGAATGACGATTCACTAATTTCCACCATGAAAAACGAAAAAGAAAATCAAGTTTTAAATCTATGAAAACTCCTAGAACCTTTGAGATTCATTGAACATTTCAATGGCATGTTTAAATCCCCGATATGCCCCTCTTGTTTGTGACTGGGATGCTGAGGATCACAAAGCGGGTGTGAATAACCATGCAAACTTACATGGTGCCCTCACATGTTACAGTCACCTATTCGATGTGCCGGTAAACCACACACGCTCCACCGAACTATGACAAACATTGAGTCACCCTTTGCTACCTTTTTCTTAGAACCATTTAGTGTGCCGGTAAACCACACACGCTCCACTAACGTCTTCGCAAGGGCACAAAGTGTAATTTCATGGAATTGCATCAATTCACTTTTGCCTAAGTAACTAAGATTGGGATTTTGAAAAACATTTAGTTACTTTGTATTTCATTATACTTATAATGGAAGGTTTCGTCCTATCCTACCCGTTCGGCTAACGACCCTCCACTAGTCAAGAGTGCGGTGGGTAAGAGTGGATACCCATTCAATCGCCATATTATAGGCAATTTCCTTAAACACCCCTTATAAACCAGCTTCGTGAATAAGGCCTACTAACGGTAAGACTGACTTTTACTCATACATATATATAATGTTAGACTTTTAATGTTATATATAATATAGGGTGCATTTTACACTTTTAAAATATTAGGTGGTTAATTTTAACAATTACACTTTTAATTCAATTAAATGGTTAACCTAAACTTTTATGGATTTATTAAATCTCTTTTAATTATACTCCTTAATTAATTAATAAAACCATAAGGGTGTATTTGAACTTTTCAAAATATTACTAGGGTTTTGGAATTTAACATTCCTAATTAACTTTTAATCAACTTTTAAATTCCAAAACTTGAGGGCAAGTTTTGAAACATTTCAAAACATTAGGGTTTAGAATTTAAATATACATCAAAATTAAACTATTTAATCAAAATTTAAATTCCAAAACTTGATGGCAAGTTTTGAAACATTTTTCAAAACATTAGGGTTTCAACTATTTAAATTTCAAAACAACAAAACTTTTGGGTTCAAATTTAAACTATAAAACCTAAAGGAAAAAATATGAAACTTTTCATAACAACAAGGATCAAATAACAAATAATCTAAATTAACATTTAATCACATAATTATCTATATTTGATTTATTTAATGATTTCTTGCAAAACAATTTATCAGTTTAATCAAAATAATCAATCAATTATCACATAAGGAAACAAATATTTTATTAATTGATAATTATCTTTAATTAGATCAAGAATATAGTCATATATATCATAAAATCAGATTTATATTGATCTAATATGATAAGGTAACTATCCTAATGCAAAAACAGCAAGAAATTCCGAGATAAGCACTATCTGACGAGTTGACTCATCGAGTCACCCTGGACTCGGCGAGTTCAGCTATGGACTCGGCGAGTCCAGCCTCTAGAACACCAAAAATCGAATTTTTTTAGATATGCAATGCATCAATACAATTGAAACCAAGCTAGGCTCTGATACCACTGATGGGTTTTGGTCATAAGACATCCTATGTGCTCATACAGACACTAAAGCTTGGATCTAGGTTTCTCTATTCTACATGCTTTGAATCAAAGACTATAAACCCTAATTCTAGCATTCAAGTAATCATATTAATATGTAATTAGGTTTAAGATCATACCTTGATTGTTATATAGCAATAACAATCCTAAATCTCCTTGAATTGACTTTGGAATGCTTAGAGTCACAAGTGTCACTCCTCTAATGGCTTACAAACACAAAGAGCAAATGGAGAAGGTATAAAGAGAGAGGAAAGAGGTTAGAATTCGTCCTTAGGACTCCTTGGGAACAAGTACACGAATTCTAAGGCCTTAGGGTCTTTATATAGGTGTAGAGATAGAGTTTCAGTCATTATCCTTATCTAGTTGCTTATCCACAAAGCAACCATAAGATAAGCCTTGAAAACCCTTATCCTTTATCCTTTGGACGATTTCAAGGATCCTTATCTTCTTGAATTCGTTCAACCCATATTTAGGATAACCATTACCATATTTTGTAACTATCACATAATTACAATTCAGCCCCTCTAGTTTAATTAATTACACTTGATCACAAAATTAATTCCTAATTAATTATTGACCAATATTAATTAAGCAAATATGATTTCTCCTTTAATATATTATTCTTATAACATATTAATAAATCATAATAACCTCTCTCTCTTTATTTATTTCTCCAATCAAGTTGCTTTGGTGAAGGCAACCCAAAAGGACCATGCACCATCAGATCAAGTACATACCAAAATAGTTATGGAGTTAGACACTAATCCAACAAATAGGCTATTCCTTAAGCTCTTTTCACTTTGAACCTCCCTTGGATGGGTGTTATGAAGGGCTCTCCATGTTTAAGCTAAGATCTGAAGTTGTAACTTCAGATCTGGACTTCCCTTGACCTCTAGATCCATAAAGTTCCTAGAATGTACAAGGATGAAACTATCCCAAGGTGTAAAACTCCATTAAAGAGATTAGATTGATCATTTCGGGCCTTTAGAGCTTTGCATGTATGTAAAGATTGCAACTTTACGTGATAAACATGCCTTAGGAGCTTGGATCTGTAATCTGGGGCCTTGCCATGGCTTAAAAAGCATCTACATGGATTAAGAACTGCATGGACTCGACTAGTTGAATGAGGGACTCGACGAGTCCATTGAAGATGGCCATGAACTCGGCGAGTTGGATGAACAACTCGGCGAGTTCGTTGAAGATTGCCTTGAACTCGGCGAGTTGTTAGAAAACTCGGCGAGTTGGCTAGGGCTTCTTCCAAATCTTGGACGCATATGAACTCGACGAGTTAAAAGGGGACCTCAACGAGCAAATCAAGGATTTCACGACTTCTCGAATTCACGAAGAACTCGACGAGTCGGTGACCTGTACTCGGCGAGTCAAGTCAACATAGACTGTTAACTCTGACTGTGGACTTTGACTTGGACCAAGGGTTGACCAATTGAATTCTGTGGGTTTCTGGGATTGCGAGATTTATGAAAAAGGTTGTGTGGTACTTTTAGGTGGTGGAGTTCGTATTGGACTAGGGAGTTGAGCTTACTTATTTCCGAAGATAGTTGCGAGGTGAGTTATCCTCACTATACTAAGGGGTCTAAGGCACCAAGGCCGACCCATTGGATATGATATCCTAGTAGTTGTATTATGTTGATTCAGAGTTAGTTATGCATGCTAGTTTGATACGCTTGAGGGTAGGACTGTAGGACTACCTGTGATACTGATTGATTTCTTGTATGTGCATTATCTGTTACATGTGATATGTTATGTGGGATGGGTTGAGGTTGTACTGGTCCGTGCGGTAGCCAACAAACCCTAGAGTATTCCAGATATGAGCTGAGGTCCCGGTAGGCATTCCAGACTCATACTAAGGACTTGGGGGCATTCCAGATACAAACTGAGGGCCCGGTAGGCATTCCAGACTCATACTAAGGGCTCGGTAGGCATTCCAGACTCACACTGTGGGCCCAGGGGTATTCCAATCTGTAAAGTTGTGGACCTATTATGTGCTGTTCTGCTCAGTTTGTTATGATATGTTTAGGTGTAATAGGGTTATGTGGACTGTATGTGTATCGGTATTTTAGGGGTAACTCACTAAGGTCTCGGGCTTACAGTTTTAGTTTATTGTTTCAGGTACCTCAGGGGATCGCAGGAAGGCGAAGGCATGATCGTACAGCTACTCCTATTGTGTTATGTTTCTAGGAAAACTCTGATATAAATGTATTTTGAATACAAAGTTGTAATGTTTTGATGAATTCGACGTGTTTTTGAAAGTTTAAATTTAGCTTAAATTTTTGAGTGTTACAATGAGAACTCTTTGATATGATCGGACAACGACCCTGTAAATTGAATAAAAGACGCATCCAGTTCTTACAATGTAAGCGATGTGCATCCACACAAGTTTTTCAAAAAATCAGGAAACATGAAAGCAACAAAGTTTTTATATAGTGGCAAAGTTTTCAAACTACAAAGGTTGCCAATATATTTTGGTATCTCATGTTGCTAGAGAGATCAAGATCACAAGGCTTATTGCCGGTTACTCGGAAATTCAGAACAACTAACGATACATGGGTGAGGTGGGATTGTTGTTTCCAAGAGAAAAGGATTGAATAGATGAAGAAGAGTTGAAAAATGAAGAATATGGATACATGACCTCTGAGAGCTCACACCCCTCTAAATTTGAAAATGTTAGTTTTGGGAGACTCAAAATTGCATCTACGCAATGATTTGCTTTAGCTAGGGAAGTCTCATCCATTAGCAGTGAGTGCAATACGTTGCTATGTGATTGAGATGATAAGAACATCAACATGACTATTTTTGTTACAAAGAAAATATTATTGTGAGAATCGACTGAGATGCTTTCCTATCCCATTGGCTAAACAAGAAAACTACAGAACGATTTTACATTTGTATTCTTCAAAAAATATGTAGTTGATACAATTACAACCATATAAAATATTTAGTTATATCATTGCCTATTGACCCATGTTCAAATCCTGGCACCACTCAGCCCTTGTGGCCATGGAGGTTCGCCTGCAGTGACTCCAGGGCATGAAGCAAAGCTTTATGTTTGCAGCGGGGGATTAGTCGGTGCGCGAAAGCTGGCCCGGAAACCCTCGTTAAGGAAGTTCCCTTTCCAAAAAAAAAAAAAAAAAAAAAAAAAAAGTTTGAGGAAGAGGATATCGGATCTTGGAGAAGGGGTTCGCTATCATCAATAGTCAGGCTTGAATTGGGGATTTTAGTGCCGAGTTCTCTTTTGCCTCTTGCCTCTTGCTGCTTCTGTTTCACCTTCACCATCACCGGTGCCTCTGGAGCCGGAATTAATCCGCAGTTTTCATCTCCGACTCAAGTCACTCAACAATAAGACGCAGTGCCCCATTCCAGTAACGTTTTGCTTTTTTGTGGTCCATAGTATTAAGAAACCAAGTTACATGGCCCAATATTTGCGCAACAAGGGAACAAACAGCACAAAACACAATAGTAATAAGACATTTTCTTTTTCATATTTTGTTTTTCCTTAATTTGATAAAAAAAAGTGGTAAAAAATATTATTAATATTTTACTGTGAACATATAAGAAGGCTAGTTATCTCAAAATAAGATACAAGAAATCTCATATCATTATGAAAAATAACTTTTTAAAACAACATGAATTAGGTCCAATTTCTTTTTTATCCAAAAAATGTTGTTGGGTAAATGATGTTTAAAAATAAATATGTTTGACAAATTGACAAAATAAATAAAAGCAAATTTATAAAAAGTTAGATATTAACCAGGAAAGACTCTTTGACCTGACTTTTTGTATTAAGTCAATTTTTCTGCATTAAAAACACCCATCTATTATATATACAGTAATCAAAATATTTCTGACAATCTTACCTAAAATCACCATATCCAATTTCTTCAGCAGCATTATCACGCTCCTCATCAGTCCAGTCAACAATCATGCCTGATAAAACAGAAAATAAGGTATTTAATATCTCATCTTTGCAAAAGATGTAAATGCCCTCATCATCCATTGTAACAAATACAGGAAAAAAAGAAGAGAAATTGAATTACCTCCTACCTTTTATGCCTACAATTATTGCTACCCATTAAAATTATGAGAGATCACCATTCAATTTAATTTTATTTGATATATTCCTAATATATCCTTAATGAGTTAGTTAAAAAAATATGGAATGATAACGCTTGTCATAATTTTATTGGGTAGGAACATTTATAGGAATAAAAAGTAGAAAGCAATTTAATTTATCAAAAAAGAACTATATTTTAAACAATTTATGGTATACCACTCTTAATGCAAGATTTTCTTGTTCTTTATTACCTTCTTTACACCGAGTTTTAGATTCGTCAAGCAAGAACAAGACTGAACACAACATGACTTGTTTTTGGCATTTACTCTCGCCACTTGGTAACCACCCTGCATGTTTAGCAGCCTGAAACAACAAAATCAATATATAATTCACCAATGTTCTTGGACCTTTTTACCCCTGTATAGAAGTGACTTACTGTGAAAAACATTTCAAAGTGCTCTTGCTGGCCTATATCAATGATGTATATTATCCACTCAGCTTTTTCCACATTCAGTTGATACCTATATATTTAGAAAAATAGTGTACAAAGCTTGTCCGTTGTAAAAAGACAAAAATGCCCCAAAGACTAATAAAGATATATATTGATCAAATTAGAGTTTATTTAAAGAAACCCAACCACAAAGCTGCAAGATCTGTTGATGCATAGTTGAAATATTCATCTCTTTTCACAACAATAAGAGGTATTTTTCGTTCAATAAAGATCACAAGCAATCAATCTATTATGCTTCAACAGATCTAGAGTCCCAAGAGGAATATATAACTTTACAACTTTCTAAGGCATCACAAGTCTTAAAAGGGTAAAAGTTCCGATACATTCCATACCAATTAAACGCGATTCAAAAGATATACATGCAACAGTCATTATTCTTGTATAACACCATTATCTTATTATTATAGAACACATCTCAATTGTAAACCCAAAATTTAGAAATCATCAGTTTGATGTTAGCATAGACTAGGTAACCCAAAAGTAATGAGTATATAAGGTTGAATCATCCTTCCAGCACTAATTTTTAAGATAATCTACATTAACGAATTGGTAACAATTTGAATATTAACTATATTTTAGAAGAAAAAAAAAATTCTAGAGCACCTTATCTCAGGCAGCGCTGGGAAATGGCCACCCATGGTGTTGGTGACATGTTTATTGATTAGGGGGACTTAAAACATGGCCTTACATTGCTATATGTCTAGTCCTAACTAAGAACAGTAAGAGGTCTACAAAGAAACATACAAAACAGGAAAAAGAATTAAAAACAGACAACTACTTATGCACAATCCTCCGCAATTTTGCAATGAACACCACCATCTTCACATAAACCCAATCTTTGAAGTTATCAAAAAACTGAAAAAATGCATGTCTCACACGACGGTTGAAAAGTAGTGTGCCACATACTATCCAAAATCCAGTAACAAAACCAGTTCCTCCACCAATATAGAACCACCCCCAAAACTCATCCATGTCTTCCCAGTCACCATCGCTTTTACCAACTAATAATTCTTCATCTCCTGGACATTTTCCGGAAAGGGGAGGTCCACACAGTCCTGCATTTCCATTGTAGCTTGAAGGTTGAAAGGATTGGAATTGAGTGCTGGATGGGATTCTCCCTGACAAGTTATTACATGACACGTCTAGGTAACACAATGAAGTCATTTGAGACATGCTGGTTGGTATCCCTCCTGATAAATGGTTTCCAGATAAGTCCAAAGCTAAAAGGTTGTTCATCTGACCAACTTGCTGTGGAATCTCTCCGATCAGAGCGTTCTTTGACAAGTTCAGGGCAAGCAGTTCATGGAGATTGGCGAGTTCATATGGGATATGTCCTGTTAAATTGTTGCTTGACATGTCAATGCTCTTCAACAATCCCAGATTACGGGTGAATTCACGCTCACTTCCTTGCCACTCGATCATCGCATGATCAACATACTCCAAATAAGTGCGATATGGATGAATAGAATATATATTATTGAAATATTGAGTTGCAGAATAGGGATGTACGTTTGGTAGCGGTAAGAATCCTTTTTGAGCCATTCTTGTAAGATTATTCAAACATGAGGGGATGCTTCCATGGAGATTGTTCCTTGAAAAGTCTAAAATTTGAAGATTCGGTAATTGACATACTTGTAAAGGGATAGTTCCGAGGAATTTGTTTGATCTTAGGACCAGAACATACAACCTTGATAAATTTTCCCCAATCCAAACAGGAACTTTACCAGAAAACTTGTTGGCCCCCAAATTCAATGATGTTAAACTCGTGCAATTCTTTAAAGACAAAGGAAATTCTCCAGAAAAGTCATTCTCGTATAGATACAATGCCTCGAGTTTGATTAAAGACTTAAAAGAGGTAGGAAGCTTTCCAAATAGACTGTTGTGTCCTAGGTTAAGAACTTTTAGCTCTTTGAAATGCCACAAACAGTCTGGAATTTGTCCCGTTAGAGAGTTATGGGAGAGATCAAGAAATTGCAAAAACCCATCGACAATTTGGCATAAGGAGGAGATTCCCCCAGAAAATTTGTTTCTGGAAAGATTTAACAATTCCAAACTGGAAGGAAGATGCGGTATTGGACCGTTAAAGCTGTTGGAGCTCAAATCTATCATTGTACTGCCTCCATAACTTGATGACAAATATGGTATTTCACCACTGATGTTGTTGGAAGAGAGATTTAAATAGCTAAATTGCATGTCCCAAAATTCTGGAGGAACTATGTCTGAAATTCTAGAATTGGAAATATCAAGACCGGTAAGCTTTTCCAGTTTTTGAATCCATTTGGGGAAGTGAGGACCTAGCTTGCAAGAGCTCAGACTAATATAGTCTAAATAAGAAAGGTTTGACATATGATTTGTGTAAGGAACTCCTTGGAGTGGGTTTTTCGAAAGATTTATTATAGAAGCCTTCGACTTTGCAATGTTTTCAGAGATGGCACCACTAAGATGATTTTGAGAAAGGTCAATCTCTTCAAGGCTGGATAGTTCCCACAATTTCTCACTTATGGTTCCATTCATGTGATTATTAGATAGGTACAGATATGATAGGGATGAAAAGTTTTGGATGCAATCCGGCAATGACCCTGTAAATTGGCTTGTTTGAGCATACAAGTATTGTAATGTAAGCGATGTGCATCCAGATGACAAGTTTTTGAGAAAATCAGGAAATCTGACAACAGCAGAGTTGTAATCGAGTGTCAAAGCTTCCAAACTAGAGAGGTTACCAAGATATTTGGGTATCCCATCTAACATGTTGCTAGAGAGATCAAGACGACGAAGCTTATCACTGGTCAATGGGGACAACCAACCATACATGGATGAGTTGAGATTGTTGTTTCTGAGAGAAAGGAAAGAAATAGATGAAGATGAAGAGTTGAGAAATGAAGAAGAATATGGATACACGACCTGTGAGAGCTCACATCCATCTAAACTTAAAGATGATAGGTTCCGCAGACTCAAAACTACATCTACCCACTGGTTTTCTTTGGCTAGGGAAATCCCATCCAAAGCAAGTTTCTCCAAATGAGAGAGATGAGACAACCAGTCAAGGTTCTCAACTCTACATCTTCCAACAGAACCAAGAGAAAGCTCTTGCAAGTTGGTGAGATTTCCAATCTCCGGAGGAATGGTTCCATAAAAAGAATTACCTGAGAGGTCAAGGTACCTTAATTCGGCCAAGGAACCAATGGACCTAGGAATGTTTCCATGAAAAGAATTGGAGGAAAGATCAAGAAGATTCAAGTAGGTTAAGTTAACCAATGAATGGCTAATCTCACCTACAAGACCAGCGGAGTTGGTATTAAGTTGTGTGACATGATAACCTGTTTTGTCGTCGCAGGTGACTCCTTCCCATGCACAGCAGTCATCTTCTTCAGGTCTCCACGTAGAGAGACTACCATCAGGGTCATGAAGGTTTGCTTTGAATTGAAGGAGAGCATCTCTCTCCTTATCCAAACACTTGTTCGTGGTAACACCATTATCATCTCCTCCTCCTCCATCACCCACTGCTGGCAACTGGTTGTCAGTTGTTGCCTCAAGAAAGACCACGAGAAGTGAGAAAATCATAACAACACAAGGACGCATAATGTAAATGTAAATGCAAATCTTGGTGATTTTTGGCTTGTATTGGTGTTTATATGAAGATGCCCATCTGAAAGGTTTATATACAGTTGGTGGCCTATTTGTGTGGGCCCGGCATACAATTCTTAATTTCCATTAAATTTAAAATTGACCCATAGTACACGTTCAAAGACTTACAAGCTTACAAGTCTTGGCAATTTGTATTTATAATTACCATGTTTTCCAGCCTTATGATAGTCTGGTTTGGTGCTCAATCCAGATACCCACATTTAGCTTAAACGAGTGCTTTTTTTTTTTTTTTTTTTTTTTTGTATATCGAGTAAATAAAGCATCTTTCAACCATCATGAATTTTTAATCACTCCATAAGTCATTTTCATTATAACAAAATCAAACGCATCAAAATAACCATCACCAAAAATACAAATCTGAGAAGAAATTATTTCATCTAAACCTAATAAATTTATTTTTGAAACCTCTTTTATATATTTATATATAGTTTATGTACATTAATGTAAACAGTTTTGTTTTTTAGTTTCACATTTATGTACATTATATAGTTGGTAAAATTACAACCACAAAAAATATTTAATTATAATATTATCATTTTCGAATATGTAAATCCATGGCAAGTGAAGAATGTATTATGGAGGAAACAATGCACTGATTGACTCAATAATGTGAAAAAAAAAGGGACCAGACGTCTAATTGACGATGGCTCTCAAGGAGTGACTAAGACAGTCATTCTTTTTTATACCGTAACAAATGCTCTTAGACAGATTGAGACAACAACACGCTTTAGATTCATTCATTTATAGCCAACTGAATATTATTGGAAACAATGGGATCTATTAGAATTATACTATAGAAAATAAAATATAAAGAAAAATTCAATCTAAAGAGTATCACGTAGCGTCAATTAACCAATGTGCCCACGTTAAACTTCATGAATTTTTGGAGAACGGAGTAAGTTTACAAGAAAAAAATTAAAGTTTGAGAAAAAGGTTGCCGAGTTTTGATATCGTCAATAGTCTGGCTCTGAATTGGGGCTTTTTATTGCCGATTTCTCTTTTTGCCTGCTACTGCTACTGCTTCTCCATCACCTCCGAATTCACCGTTTTTCTGTGCAGTTTTATCTCCCGACCCAAACCAACAAAAGATAAGAGGCCGGAGCCGCTGGACAGTACGTCAGTGATCAATTAACCAATCGTTTGCCATTCATTATTGGCATACAATACAAGGCCCCAATTCGTGCAACATTAATGACATTATGAAACATGTTTCTTTCACAAGGCCCAATGATATAATGAAACATGTTTCTTTCACCATTTCTTTTTTTCAATTTCCATAAAAGTTTTATTATATTACTAAAAAAGAAATAAAAGTGCAATAATTCAACTAACTAGAAGTTAACGTTATTGTATAAATTATCAAATAATACCATTACATTTTATTTTAAATAAAATAGTAAAAGTATATAAGTATAACAATATGATGTTAGATAATATATATTATTATTACTATATACAAAATAAATCGGATTACGTATTTAAGATATGTCAGGCATATTTTAAAAAAATGATGAGATATAAATTATATGTCCAAACTGTGCAGCGAATTCATTTAACCAACATAAAGCTTTAGTTTATCACATACATGTTTACAAATGCTATAAAAGACATTTTTGTCAATTACTTGTTAAACATAAAGAATGGTATGATGGTAAATAACTCTCTCATCATGAGTCTAAGTGTCTAACAATCAAACTAATGGGAAACTTACACGAGAGCATAATGAAAAGAACTATTTACAAATGAATTTCACGAAAATGATGAAACCTTAACTCTCCCATCTACATTCTCTTAATACGAAATAATATCAAAGCTCTCAAAGTTATTATCAAAGCAATTATATCTGATAGATAGTTAACAATTTAATTGCTGGATGTTTAAATTTGTGAATTTCCATGCTTCCATAAGCCCAATGGATGATTGAAAGGAATGAGAGTAAACTGTTGGGCGGGTGATTAGCAAGAAATAACATATTCAACAAGGAATGTGAATGGCAACTTTTCTTTAATCCTCCTTGTCAATGTGTGTTTTGATTTCAATGTAATTAGAGCTTTTGCACCTTAGCGTATTAACTCTGTTCTGTTCTGAGCAACTTTGTTGCCAACAGAGAGAGCCACTCTTATTGATATTGGGGACTTAAATGCCCATGCCAAATTACATTGCTATGTCTCTAGCCATAAAGTAGCACAGTAATAGGTACATTCGAGATGACATAAACACTAGAAAATAAGATGAGAAACTACAATTGTCCAACCTTCTGCAAATTTTGTCATGATAATAACATTTTCTTTGAATTTCATGATACCTTTTTTGCGGTGAAGGACGAGGTTTCCCATACTACCCTCCTCACGGGTCCAAGTGAACAAGGTCTCTATTTGTTTTGTTGCCCGTCATTTCAGCCAATCGCCAAAAGTGCTTTTACTTCTCTTCGTGCTCCTGTTCAAACGTGGCATAACCATGGCCACCCTCATCCGCAACTTTTAAAATCAATGTTATCTAAATATTCTCTTCCTGTTTCAAATAAATGTTTGTCTTTTCCTTGTAATGGTTGTCACATTGGAAAATCCTCAAAACTATCATTACCATTATCAAAATTTAAAAGTACCAGTATTCTAGATCTTGTCTTTTGTGATGTGTGGGGTCCAGCTCCTATTACCTCTTTTAATGGTCATCGTTACTTTCTACTTTGTGTTGATCATTTTACCCGTTATATGTGGCTATTTCCGTTACAAAAAAAATATAATGTATTTGCTACTTTTAAACACTTTCTTGCAATGGTTGAGAGACAATTTGATACAAAACTAAAATTTGTCCAAACAGCTTTGTTGAACGTCGTCATAGACATGTCGTTGAAACTGGACTCACATTGCTTGCTCAATCTGGTGTGCCATCAAGGTTTTGGCATTTTGACTATGATACCGCTGTTTACCTTATAAACCGTATGCCATCTCGTACCTTGTCCAATATCTCGCCTCTTGAGCATGCCTTCTCTCATAAGTCGGATTATTCCTTCCTACATGTCTTTGGTTGTTTATGCTACCCTCATCTTCGTCCCTACAACAACCAGAAAATGGATTTTCGTTCCATTCCTTGTGTGTTCCTCAGGTATAGCACCATCCATCACAGTATCGATGCCTCGATCCCACAACCGATCGTAGTATATCTCAAGGCATGTCCAGTTTAATGAGTATACCTTTCCTTTTCTACAAACCTTAACTACACCAACTACACCCTCTTCCTCCATTCCTTATGTCTGAAGTTATCTAAACCCCACCATATCCATTAACATTGAATCTATTCCCACTCCTACCCATCATACCGTTCCTGAACAACTTCCTACTAAACAACCCTCTCTGACTGTTCCCACCATCCCTCCCCAACATCCTCCTCCTGAACAACCTTATGTTGTTCCATCACACTCCAAACAACCTCCCGCTACTGTCCCTGTGCACACTGATCAATCTCGCACTTGTACTCGCTCATCCATCCTCCGACAAAACCCGAAACAACAATTTCCTTATGATCCTTCAGCTTATACCACCACTTCTGCCTTCTCCGAAATTGAGCCTACTACCTTCACTATTGCCAACAAGTCACCAAGGTGGAGGGCTGCCATGGCAGATGAATACTCCGCCCTCATGCGTAATGCCACATGGTCTCTTGTACCACCCATTCCAAATGCAAATTTGGTTGATTGTAAATGGGTACACAAACTTAAACGAGAGCAAACAGGTGTGGTCACTCGTTACAAAGCACGTTTAGTTGCCAAAGGATTCAAACAACAACATGGTATAGACTATCATGAGTCCTTCAGTCCAGTAGTCAAATCTACAACAATTGGAACGATTCTATCTCTTGCTGTTACCCGGGGTGGACATTACGACAATTGGATGTTCAAAATGTCTTTTTGCATGGAGAACTAAAAGAAACAGTTTATCTGCGTCAACCATCGGGTTTCATCGACCCAACAAAACCAGATCATATTTGTTTACTCCACAAATCCTTATATGGGCTTAAACAGGCGCCCTATGCGGTATAATTGTTTGACCAAAGCCCTACAAGTTCTTGGTTTCAAAGGATCAGTCACGAATCCTTCTCTCTTTGTTTATGATTCTAATGGTACTCTTCTTTATATGTTGGTGTACGTTGGTGACATAGTTCTCATCGATAACAAATCCAATGCCATGGATCGCATCATCAAAAGTCTTGGTCAGAAATTTACAATTAAAGACTTGGGTCCTCTTTCCTATTTTTTGGGAATTGAAGTAGTGCGCAAACAAAAGGATCTTGTTCTATCCCAAAAGAAATATATATGGAATTGCTTTAATGGACAAATCTCTCTAACTCCAAACCAGTACCGTCTCCCATCACTACCATTGTTGATTTGAAACTTGGTGACAGTGTCTTATTTGATGATCGAGTCTCTTATCGACAAGTTGTTGGTGCCTTACAGTATGTCACTCTATCCCGTCCAAATATTGCTTTTGTAGTCAACAAACCCAACTGAAAATTATTGGTCTACTGTCAAACGCATACTCAGATATCTTCAGGGCACTTTTGATTATGGTCTTCTTCTTCAACATAACTCTGATGCTATTCTTCATGCTTACACTGACACTCATTTTTCATCTTTAAGTGCCTACTCGGACGCAGACTGGGTTGGTTGTCCTGATGACTGTCGATCCACCAGGGGATATGCCATTTATCTTGGAAACAATCTTATTTCTTGGTCTGCTAGAAAACAACGTAATGTATCTAGGTCATCTACAGAATTCGAGTACAAAGCTTTAGCCGATACTGTTGTCGAACTCACCTATCTTGAATCGCTTCTTCGGGAACTTAAGGTTTCGATAACATCTGTCCCGGTCTTATGGTGTGACAATTTGGGTGCTACTTACTTATCAGCTAATCTCGTCTTTCGTGCCCGCGCAAAA